ATCTCATCTCATGTCATCTCATCTCATCTCGTTTAATCTGGTCTCATCTCATCTAGTTTAATCTTGTCTCATCTAGTGTATTTTCCTTTCATCGTGTCTCACCTCACCTTGTTTCATTTCATCTCATCTCATGTCATCTCATCTCATCTCGTGTCTTTTTCTTTCATCGTGTCTCATCTCACCTCACCTGGGCTCCTCTTCTCACCTTTCATCTCATCTTGTCTCATCTCATCTAGTTTAATCTGGTCTCATCTCATCTAGTGTCTTTTCCTTTCATCGTGTCTCACCTCACCTTGTTTCCTTTCATATCATCTTGTGTCTTTTTCTTTCATCGTGTCTCATCTCACCTCACCTGGGTTCCTCTTCTCTTCTCTCCTTTCATTTCATTTGGTCTCATCTCATCTTGTTTAAACTTGTTTTGTCTCATCTCGTCTCACCTAGAGTCTTTTCCTTTCATTGTGCCTCATCTCACCTCACCTGGGCTCCTCTTCTCACCTTTCATCTCATCTTGTCTCATCTCATCTAGTTTAATCTTGTCTCATCTAGTGTCTTTTCCTTTCATCGGGCTTCATCTCACCTCACCTGGGTTCCTCTTCTCACCTTTCATCTCATCTTATCTCATCTCATCTAGTTTAATCTTGTCTCATCTAGTGTCTTTTCCTTTCATCGGGCTTCATCTCACCTCACCTGGGTTCCTCTTCTCACCTTTCATCTCATCTTATCTCATCTCATCTAGTTTAATCTTGTCTCATCTAGTGTCTTTTCCTTTCATCGGGCTTCATCTCACCTCACCTGGGTTCCTCTTCTCACCTTTCATCTCATCTTATCTCATCTCATCTAGTTTAATCTTGTCTCATCTAGTGTCTTTTCCTTTCATCGGGCTTCATCTCACCTCACCTGGGTTCCTCTTCTCACCTTTCATCTCATCTTGTCTCGTCTCATCTAGTTTAATCTGGTCTCATCTAGTGGCTTTTTCTTTTCATCGTGTCTCACCTCACCTCACCTTGTTTCATTTCATCTCATGTCATCTCATCTCGTGTCTTTTTCTTTCATCGTGCCTCATCTCACCTCACCTTGGTTCCTCTTCTCTCCTTTCATCTCATTTTGTCTCATCTCATCTTGTTTAATCTTGTCTCATCTCGTCTCACCTAGAGTCTTTTCCTTTCATTGCGCCTCATCTCACCACACCTGGGTTCCTCTTCTCACCTTTCATCTCATCTTGTCTCATCTCATCTAGTTTAATCTTGTATCTTCTCATCTAGTGTCTTTTCCTTTCATCGTGTCTCACCTCACCTTGTTTCATTTCATCTCATCTCATGTCATCTCATCTCGTGTCTTTTTCTTTCATCGTGCCTCATCTCACCTCACCTTGGTTCCTCTTCTCTCCATTCAACTCGTCTCGTCTCATCTCATCTCCTATCTTATATTGTTTCCTTTCATTTTGTCTCCCTTCATCTTTGTCATCCCTTCATCATCTCTTATTTTGTCTCCCCACTTCTCCCCGTCCCCTCTTTCATATTGTCTCGTCTTACCTTGTCTCCTGTTCTCTCATCTTCTTTCCCCTCTCATCTCGTTTGCACTACCCTCATCTTGTTTTCTCTCATCTAGTCTCAATTCGACTCCACTTCCTTCTTAGATCTGCTCTGTTTTGGCCCATTTCCTGCGAAAACAATGGCTTTTGATTGAGCTGCAATCTTTAAGAATCTCCTCCTGACATCCCGGTCTATGGATCCGGTTAATCTCTTCAGGGATTTTATAGCTAATACAGATGGGAGAATTTAATCTTTAGATGTCAAGTCGAACACTAGAATCCTATGACTTCCAGCCAAATTGAACAAGTCACTGTGTATCTCTTGAAGTTATGATATTATGACCTAACCTAACTTTAAACTCTCAAATACCCATTAAATTCACTGAAACAAACAGCTGTTTTAACCGAAAAGATCGTTATGAATAGGGATGCACGATATATCGGCCAAAATTTTCATATCGGTGCATCCCTAGTTATGAATAACATGTTTATATGTATGCATGACAAGCGCCATCTCCGCAGGATGATGTCATATACTTGTGTCAGCCTTGCACTTGATATTCTACAATGCTTGGCTTTTTTAAACTCGGTAACTTGAGTCACTGAGATTGCTTATCTCCACTGTGCCCTTGAACAGAGCTCTTTCCTCCCGGGAACACCCAAGCGACTACTGTAAATTGCCTGAGATGAAAGCGTCTGTGAAAGTGTAAAAGTCTGCACTCAGATCAGGGTTCGTCTTGCATTGGAAAAGTGATACATTTGCTAGCACAGTAGATTATGTGTGCCTAGTTCACATCCCCAACGATTAGTTTTCTTTTGAATCTGCATATAGTACATTCATGGTCCAAGGTTCTTTCATGACATATGTGTTGACTAAAGTTTCACAGAAAGAAGGAGATTGCGGAATTTGATGGCTCGACAGAAACTGTGTTAGAGAGAAAGAAAAAAGCTGGGTCAGAATGTTTTTGTTTGCCCCTAAAGGGCAGTTAGAAGATAAAGCTGTACCATCATTTTCTTCGGCCAGAAGTTTATTTATATATATATATATATATATATAAATAAACTTCTGGCCGAAGAAAATGATGGTACAGCTTTATCTTCTAACTGCCCTTTAGGGGCAAACAAAAACATTCTGACCCAGCTTTTTTCTTTCTCTCTAACACAGTTTCTGTCGAGCCATCAAATTCCGCAATCTCCTTCTTTCTGTGAAACTTTAGTCAACACATATGTCATGAAAGAACCTTGGACCATGAATGTACTATATGCAGATTCAAAAGAAAACTAATTATATATATATATATATATTATGGTCATGAATGCAAACAGTGAAGATTCTAGATAAACAAAATGCAACTTTTGGATATATTAGATAACAGCTTGAATTATTATTGCGACCACAAAAACAGTCAGGAAATACATTTTTGAACCTGTCTTTGAACAGTAAAGTTCGTAGAAGTCTCATAAACGAAAAACAAACAATAAACAAAAAGGTAACTATCATAAAAAAATCTAAATGGTATTAGTTTAAACAATCTCATTACCCTTAAAATTAGATATTTAAATAAAACAAGTTCAAAAGACTTAGATGTTCAAAAGACGCAAAACTTACGAAACCGCTTAAGTTTACAATTTTTTCCCTGTCTGACAGTGTTTCATTTAATGCGTTATGTTTTGAACCTTACAAACAGTAACTTATTTGAAGTAAAGTTGAAATATTGAAAAAGTAATTTTGACTGCAAACTGCTTTGCCTTTTTACTTTCTTAACGTCTTTTTTTACATTCTTTAGTTATCGACATTAAGTTGTTCTTTATATATCATTGATTTTTTGTTTGTTTATTTTTGTTTTATTTTTGAACAACCCTTTGTTGTTACTTAAAGTGCTTGTTTTATCCGACCAGTAAAGCGTTTCTACACTGTAAAAAAAATTCCGTAAAATTTACGGTAAAAAACCGGCAGCTGTGGTAACCGGAATTTTACCGTAAAAAATACGGTAGCAACATTTTAGGTTTTACAGTTTTAACTTAACTGTACAGTTAAATACCGTAATTTCATTAACTGATATAATATACCAACCTATTGAAGCACTGAAATCTGTTTTGTAATACACTGATAACCAGCACATGCAGGTGGTGATGAGAAAGTCACATGATGAACCAAAGCCCATCACAAGTAGCTTTTAGATAATAACATATATAGAAGGTGCACAGTGTCGTTCAAACAAACACTAAACACCATCATGGTGACACATGAAACTGAAATAATGCAATAAACATTCATTTAACAACGTTAGGTGTAACACACAACCCTAATATACAAAACTGATAAGAAAAAACTAAGAAGAAACATAGTTATTTCAACAAAAAAACATCAAATTTGAAATGTAACACAGGGAATTCTGGGAATGTCAATTTACGGTTATTCACTGTAAATTATACGATATTTTTCACTTCCAAAAACAGTATACTACCGTAAAATTTATGTCCAATACATGTAATGTCCAATACAGTTTTTTACCGTATATAGTAGGGGAATTTACCGTTAACCATTTAACAGGTTTTTACTGTAGCGTTTTTAGTCTTTTACCGTTAAATTCACGGTAATTTTTTACAGTGTAGTAAAAAAAGGCAAAGAACAACTATTGGAAACAAAGTCCTGATTTTATTAACCTCAATAGTAGACATTTTTGCACAAAACATTGATGCATTATTATGCATTATACACAGGATAAGTTTTACCAATCTTAAGTCAGATTTATTTGCATTCATTGTTTTTTTTTTCTGGAGTGCAAAGTGACAACAGAATGTCTTTGAAAACCGTTTGAATGCACTTGGCAAGATGTGGGTGTTCGGTCCTAGTGTTAATTTCACACGGTGTTAATTTGCCGTGTAAACGGCATTATTGATCTCTTTCTCTGGCTGAGTGCCCATGTGCTGAAAAAGCGTGTTGATTTTGGGTTGTGATTGTGAAGTATTCAGTCTGAAGGGGAGTTAGCAGTATATTTTGCACTACAAGTTTGTTTACATTAATAAACAAGAGCTAGTTATCTTAAAAATGTCAAATGTCAAATCAGAATTTGCTTAATTGCTTTTAAAAATGCATTGTAGGTATGGTGTGGTTTTATTTTTTAACTTGGTTAACATTTAGTTTTCCATGGGTTTAAACATAGGTCTCGTTTTTTCCTAAGTTTGCTTTCTACATCCTTTAGATGTTTTCCATCAGTTCAGATGAGGCGACATAAGTTATTAGAGACAATTTGAATGCTTAGTAATCACAATGTGACTTTTGCACCTAATATTGTGTTAGCGAGTTAATTTGAGAGTGCGTTGTGTGATAATTGGATGGCATTGATCTTCCAGGCGGATACCCGCGTGCCAAACAATCTTGTTGATTTTCAGCTGTGAAATGTGTTGATTTGGAACTGTTGTGTGCTAATGATGTTCTCTACTCTCTTTCTCTCGGTGTGTGCAGACTTGCTGAACGGAGCGCAGGAGAAATGTGAACTACCCTCGCTTGACGGGTTTCCGCATTGTGAAGGGAAGTTGAATGTAAGTGTTTCTCGCAGCCTCTGATCCAGCTCTCTGAGGAAAGCTTCTCGCTCTGAGACTTGTTAGAGTCACTCTTTAATTACTTTGGGCTGTCGCTGTCCTATGATGGCTTCTCATCAAACCATTTCCATCCTGAATCCAGACAGATAGATTTTTTTAATTAAAAACACTCTGCGGGACATTCCCCTTACAGACAGCGAGATATTGATTCGTTTTGAGACATATTTGAAAGCTTTTAAACTGCTTTTGCGTTATTTATGAGCAGAGTACTTGTATAAAATTTGCAATAAATTATAACATTATCGATTTAATATATAAATATAAACAATAATGTGTCATTTTAATTTAAAATGCATTTTTCTGTAATGTCACTTCTTAGTCTGAAGTGTTTTTGTGTTCACGTGGCTGAAGTGTTTTGTCACGTGGCTTAACCTCCCAGAAGTTTCAGATTTTTCAAATCATTTAAAGAATTCCGAATGGAGTTTTACCATGTGATAAAGCTTTTTCCTTCCTGGAACGCCGCTTTCCTTAATGAGCTCACCTGATACTCAGAATGAGTCCGTCTGGATACAGCCCGTTGATGTAGCAGCCAGACGGGGGAAATTACGTGGGATTTAACATCAAGCAGAGCACACCGAAGCTGGTTGGTCTTTTCAGTCAGATCAGACCTGAGCCTGGCCTCATCTCGATAATCACGGGTCCTTTCGTGTAGCGCTCATGGAAATGGCTGCAATATGGAAAGCCTCTTAAAATCATGCAGAATTAAAACCAAAATGTGACAACAGTAACAGTGAGAGCAGCCTGACTGAGCGGTTTGACTTTAGTCTGGAGGCTTAGAACGTCTCCAAACTGTTGTTTATCCATTAAACCAAAGCGCAAACCAAAATCTAACAAAAGAGGCTGTGATTAAGATAATGTGCTTTTAAAGGGTTAGTTTGAAGGTCGACATGTCAGGTTTTAGCCAAGTTACACCTTTTCTTTGCAAATCATATGATAAAACCATTTGTTCAATTCTTATTTAATTAACTTTCTGTCTTTTAAATTTGATTTGTTTGGCTATTCATGCACAAAAAGTGTTTTAAAATTCAAAAATTCTAAACATTTTTGAAAAAAAGGTTTTCTTTTAGGAGTAGTGGTTTGATTTGTCTGTAGTGATTAAAATGTATATATAAATATATATAATATATAAAATTATTATAGTTTGGGATAAAATAATCTCTTTCCAAAAGTACATCCATAAAATTTATATTTGTATTTAAAAATAAATTAAATAAAACAATAAATGTAATGAATCAATTATTTAATCAAAATGTATTTCTTTATTTTTTTAAAAAGGTTTCCTTTTATGAGTAGTGGTTGGATAATCTGTAGTGATTACAATTAAATGACTATAGTTTGGGGACAAAATTTTCTCCGAAATGTGATATGACATAAATATATCCATTAAAAATAAATAAAATTTTAGCTAAAAATAAATAAAATGGATACATTTTATGAAATGAATAAATTACTATAGTTTGGGGATAAAATAGTAGCCTTAATATGATAAAGTGTCCATATGTACATCCATAAAATTTAATTTTAATGAAAAATAAATACAATTAAAAAATGTATTTCATAATTTAATTAATTATTTAATAAAAAATTAAATATTTTTTTTTTATATAATTTTTTTTTTTAATGAAGTGGTTGGATAGTGAATAAAATTAATTGGTAAAATTAATATAGTTTAGGGACAAAACTCTTGTTAAACTCTTGTTCAATCAACTTTCTGTAATTAATTTGATTAGTTTGATTCTTTATGCACCAAAACAAATGTAAATATGCAGACATGTGCAAATTAAGCACGATACGATTGAATATTTTCTACTTTTTTTTAATGTCGACTTTATAAAATGTATTATCTTCATACGAATCGAGCTTTTTCTTCTCAAGTGCTGACTCATTAAAAACGCATGGACGGCATCTTACTCAGAAAGCCCGATCGATGAGTGTGATCTGAAGCATCTGAGAGTCTCACTGGGAGAAGATATTGGATACAGGAAGAGGAAACCAATGCTTTTTTTCTGAAGGTCAGGCTGATCTAAGAACTTCAGAAATATCCTGGAAAAACTTTGACAGGAAATAAAACGGCAAACTTGACACGCAACTTCCTGCACGAGTGCTTATCAGATCGACTGTGGATTTTGTATACTTGGGAGTTTTACAAAACCACTGAGGTTCATTTGTAGCGTTAGATTTGTTCTTATCTGATGTTGTTGTTTCCTCCTCTACAGTGGATGAAGGACATGTGGCGTTCGGACCCCTGCTACGGCATCTACGGAGTGGACGGATCCACCTGTTCATTCTTCATTTATCTGAGTGAGGTGAGATATGACCGAAACATTGGCCTAATGGTTATGAATCTGGGCTGGTAGCCCACAAAATGCAGGTTCGTGTCTCTCGAACTTACAGAGGAAGTATGTGGCGGTACCATGGTGCATTGACATAAACCATGAGGCTAGAAGGTTTCCATATTCATGCACTATGATATTTAGTTGGTACTTTAAAGGAATAGTTCACCCAAAAATGAAAATTTGCTGAAAATGTTTTCATCCTCAGGCCAACCAAGATGTAGATGAGTTTGTTCCTTCATCAGAACAGAGTTGTAGAAATTTAGCATTGCATCACTTGCTCACCAATGAATCCTCTGCAGTGAATGGGTGCCGTCAGAATGAGTCCAAACAGCTGATAAAAACATCACAATAATCCACAAGCAATCCACTCCACTCCAGTCCATCAATTAATGTCTGGTGAAGTGAAAAGCTGCATGTTTGTAAGAAACTAACCCATCATTAAGATTAAGAGTAACTTCGAATTGTCACTTCCAGCTAAAATTCAAATCCTCTTTGCAAAAGTTGTCTTGTCTGAATCAGTAGAGAAATCTGCACAGATCAAGCTCCGTTTACAAGTGAAAACAGTCCAAAACAAATATGTTGTTGGATTTGATTCAGCATTGCATCACTTGTTCAACAACGGATCCTCTGCAGTGAATGGGTGCCGTCAGAATGAGTCCAAACAGCTGATAAAAACATCACAATAATCCACAAGCAATCCACTCCACTCCAGTCCATCAATTAATGTCTGGTGAAGTGAAAAGCTGCATGTTTGTAAGAAACTAACCCATCATTAAGATTAAGATTAACTTCGAATTGTCACTTCCAGCTAAAATTCAAATCCTCTTTGCAAAAGTTGTCTTGTCTGAATCAGTAGAGAAATCTGCACAGATCAAGCTCCGTTTACAAGTGAAAACAGTCCAAAACAAATATGTTGTTGGATTTGATATGAGAGGACAATAGGGGATGTACTTTTTCTCTGGAGGAAGTGTTATTATTATGGATTATGTACTTGTATTTTGGCAAAAAAACGACGGTTGGACGTTAAAAACGCCTAAATGATGGATTCGTTTCTTACAAACACACAGCTTTCTGCTTTTAAAGACATTAACTGATGGACTGGAGTGGTGTGGATTGCTTGTGTATTATTGTGATGTTTTTATCAGCTGTTTGGACTCATTCTGACGGCACCCATTCACTGCAGAGGATCCGTTGTTGAACAAGTGATGCAATGCTGAATTTATCCAAATCTGTTCTGATGAAGGAACAAACTCATCTACATCTTGAATTCAAAACGGTTTTGTTTATCCATTAAACCAAAGCGCAAGGGTAAAGAATCTAACAAAAGAGGATGTTTTTTAAGATTATGTGTTTTTAAAGGATTAGTTTCAAGGTCGACGTGTCAAGTTTTATCCTTATGTTTGCAAATCATTTGGTAAAACCATTTGTTAAATTCTTGTTCAGTCAACTTTGAAAATCTGTGATTTTAATTTGGTTTGTTTGGCTATTTGTGTACCAAAACCGGTTTTAAAAACAAAAGTAAAAAAAAAAAATGCAAACATTTTCTTATTTTGATTTTGTGTGTGTGTGTGTGTACCTTTTTTTTAAATAAAATTACATTCCAATTAAAATAAAAACATTTAATAAATTAATATATTACACTCTTACCTTGCAAATCGTTTGGTAAAACCATTTGTTAAATTCTTGTTCAGTCAACTTTCTGTAGTTAATTTGATTAGGTTGATTTTTATGCACCAAACAAATGTAAATATTCAGACATATGCAAATTAAGTAAAATCCGTTTGTGTATTTTCTACATTTTTTATGCAGACAGTGTAAAATGTATCATCTTCATACAAATGCAAGCTTTTTTCCATCAAGTGCTGACTCAACGCACGGAGGGCATCTTTTTTCAGAAACCCCGATCGATAAGTGTGATCTGAACCGCACGCTGCGATCAATATGTCCCTCTCCGTCCTAGAGAGAGTCTCACTGTGAGAAGAAATTGGATACAGGAAGAGGAAAACAATTTTTCTGAAGGTCAAGCTGATCTAAGAACTTCAAAAATATCCTGGAAAAACTGACAGGAAATAAAACTGCGCACCTTATTCACAGCTTCCTGCACAAATGCTTGTATACTTGTTAGATTTACAAAACCCTTTTTTTTTCCTCCTTTCCTCCTCTACAGTGGATGAAGGACATGTGGCGTTCGGACCCCTGCTACGGCATCTACGGAGTGGACGGGTTCATTCTTTCATTCTTCATTTATCTGAGTGAGGTGAGATATGACCGAAACATTGGCCTAATGGTTATGAATCTGGGCTGGTAGCCCACAAAATGCAGGTTCGTGTCTCTCGAACTTACAGAGGAAGTATGTGGCGGTACCATGGTGCATTGACATAAACCATGAGGCTAGAAGGTTTCCATATTCATGCACTATGATATTTAGTTGGTACTTTAAAGGAATAGTTCACCCAAAAATGAAAATTTGCTGAAAATGTTTTCATCCTCAGGCCAACCAAGATGTAGATGAGTTTGTTCCTTCATCAGAACAGAGTTGTAGAAATTTAGCATTGCATCACTTGCTCACCAATGAATCCTCTGCAGTGAATGGGTGCCGTCAGAATGAGTCCAAACAGCTGATAAAAACATCACAATAATCCACAAGCAATCCACTCCACTCCAGTCCATCAATTAATGTCTGGTGAAGTGAAAAGCTGCATGTTTGTAAGAAACTAACCCATCATTAAGATTAAGATTAACTTCGAATTGTCACTTCCAGCTAAAATTCAAATCCTCTTTGCAAAAGTTGTCTTGTCTGAATCAGTAGAGAAATCTGCACAGATCAAGCTCCGTTTACAAGTGAAAACAGTCCAAAACAAATATGTTGTTGGATTTGATATGAGAGGACAATAGGGGATGTACTTTTTCTCTGGAGGAAGTGTTATTATTATGGATTATGTACTTGTATTTTGGCAAAAAAACGACGGTTGGACGTTAAAAACGCCTAAATGATGGATTCGTTTCTTACAAACACACAGCTTTCTGCTTTTAAACACATTAACTGATGGACTGGAGTGGAGTGGATTACTTGTGTATTATTGTGATGTTTTTATCAGCTGTTTGGACTCATTCTGACGGCACCCATTCACTGCAGAGGATCCGTTGTTGAACAAGTGATGCAATGCTGAATTTATCCAAATCTGTTCTGATGAAGGAACAAACTCATCTACATCTTGAATGGCCTGAGGGTGAAAACATTTTCAGCAAATTTTCATTTTTGGGTGAACTATTCCTTTAAGACACTGTAAATGATATGGATTCATGTCCAGTAAACCTCGTTAAAATGGCCTTAATGCTATTAGCTGAGTGTGGTTTCGGCATACTGGAAGTATGGCTGTGAATTGCTCCCAGTGCCACAGTAAACACATGATACTCTGTTGAGTATCACGTAAAACACAAAAGATGTGATGTGTGAAATGTGACGAAATCGTAAAAATCCAGTTTGTAATTAATTTTGTGTTTAATGACATCCGAATGAAATTTTGTGGAACAATCAGTTAAATTAATGTGTTTTAGAAAGAGTGTGTGTGTGTGTTTTAGTGTGTGTGAGGTAATATCTAAAATCCACAGCTGCAGAGCTGCATGTACAGCATTGCCATGACGACATGCATACATTTCCATATCAACGGTCTCATTCTCTTTAGCAGCCGATGTGTAATTTAAATCTTGATCAGGTGGTTAAATGAGGTGACTGATATATAAATCCGCAAGGCTCCTCAGAGAAATGGGGTGCAGTATGTCAACAAGATCTGTTTCCACGCTCTGCCGGTTTACATCTGATCATTAGCTCACTGTTTCTGCTTGTTTTAGGTTGAAAACTGGTGCCCTCGCCTGCCGTGGAGGATCAAGAATAATGCTGATGAAGCCGACAGGAATACACAGGTCAGCTATGGTTTGGTTAAATATGATAAAATGTCCATAAAATATATGAAATAATATTATAAAATAAATATTAATTATATATAAATAAAATAATGGATAAATAATACATGTTTTAACAATAATCTATCCATCCATCCATCCATCCATCCATCCTACCTACATCCATCCATCCATCCATCCTACCTACATCCATCCATCCATCCATCCATCCTACCTACATCCATCCATCCAACCATCCTACCTACATCCATACATCCATCCATTCATCCATCCATCCTACCTACATCCATCCATTCATCCATCCATCCTACCTACATCCATCCATCCATCCATCCTACCTAGATCCATCCATCCAACCATCCTACCTACATCCATCCAGCCATCCAACCATCCTACCTACATCCATCCAGCCATCCTACCTACATCCATCCAGCCATCCTACCTGCATCCATCCAGCCAACCATCCTACCTACATCCATCCAACCATCCTACCTACATCCATCCACCCATCCTACCTACATCCATCCAACCATCCTACCTACATCCATCCAACCATCCTACCTACATCCAACCAACCAACCATCCTACCTACATCCATCTTTAAAAAGCCTCCATAAATACATCTAAACAAAATATAAAAATTCTATTTCAATAATAAAAAAATAATTCAGTTTTTAATATTTTATTTAATAAAAGTAAAAATAAAAAATATATTTAAATATTTATATTTTATTTAATAAAAAAAAAGGTTTTCTTTGATGTGTAGTGGTTGGATTAGTCTGTTGTCATTAAAATGAGCTTGTCTCTAACATGTCATCATTTAGATGTGTTAGTGTGCGGATGTTTCTGAGGTTTAACCGCAGCGTTCACTGATCATCTTCTCACACTGTTGTTCTCAGAGTTAATAGCTTGAGAGAGAGGAAACCGAAAGAGGGAGCCTCACATGACAGACCAGCATGCTATATTTGTTTATTTCCACAGACGGAGATCCGCACGAGTTTCGAGGAGCTGTATCGCGTGATGTCGCGGCGCGAGGAGTTTCGCTGGATGATGCTGCGGATCAAGCGCATGGAGGAGCCGTGGGTCAGCGCCATCCGCTCCCTCGCCACCAAACAAAACCTCAACAACCACAAGCGCAAAAAGGTGAATTGTGAGAATCTCAGTATTGACTGAACGTGTTGGCCTTTAGTAATTCAGTCCGTGTTCCCACCCTTTTACCGAATGAATAATTCACACAAATGCAGATAGACGCACTTTCCCAAGAGCATCTTGACTTTCTCTTTCTCCTGCAGTCAGCCGGCGCAGCGGGACTCGAAACTGCTCGCACGCGTGCGTCTCTCTAGAGATTGCCTGATGTCAAGCCTGAAATAACCTCAGTTGTTTAAAGCTTAAAGCATGTCATGGTTACCCATAATCCTCCAGTGATACTCATCCCCCACACAAATGTGACTGCGTATGAGTCCCTTGACATATTAATACTAAAACAAGTGCCGTGAATAAAAAATGTATCACTGCGCCATACAGATTCTGACATGACAGAGAATTTTAAGATATTGCAACCCACAGGATTTTTGTTTTTAAACCCTAAATGTAACCTTCTCTTCCCATTTACTTCTTCACAATAAGCATATCTGATATTTAAGAACAGAAAGAGGCCATTATTAGGCAAATATTAACCATTAAATTTCATGGAATCAGAATTTTGTTTAGTTTTAATCAGGAACATCAGTTTAATAATGAAAATTTAGTGATTCATTATGAAAATAATGAAATAAAAATACTATGTGATTAATCTTTTATTTGCATGATTTATTATTCTAATAAATCATTTTTTTGAATATTAATTGTATTATATTTTTAATATGTATTATTAATACATTTAAAAATATATAATGTTATTATTATATTATAAAAATATTGATTTGTGATTTAATGATCAATAAGCATATTGTTTAATTACTAGTCAATTTACAGTGACTGTTTTTATATTTTATATATTAGTATATATTATACATTTCTTATATAATATTAGAATATTTGAGATCATTATGTACTGTTGCTTATGCCAAAACTTTTTTTTTTTTTAGTAAAGTTCAAATTTGAAAAAAGTATTATTGTATTTATATTTTGTATTTTTCAAAGTTAACCATAATATTTCAATACTCTGGAGTATGAAGTCATATTTTGATTAGTTTTAAATAGGACTGTCAATTTGATGTTAAATTTAGTCTCATTATTGTTAAAGAAAATAAATGTTATGTAATAAAATAAAATACAGTTAATTATTATAATGAATTATATTATTTGTAAAATATTACAAATAAAATTAGATTTTATATTTATACTTAAAAAAAAAAAGAATAATATACAAATTTATATAATAATATGATTTAAGTGGGATATCATTTAATTAATAATCCAATTTAAAGTTTTTATTTATTTATTTATTAAAAAAATATATTATATATATATATATATATATATATATATATATATATGCTTATTTCAAGGGACCCTCAATTGTGGATAATGATGATAATAATAACAAATTATTATTATCATTATTATTTTTAAATGTATTTTTAATTAAAGTTTTTTATTTTATTTTAATCATTAAAATACAATTTAAACCATTGTTATCAAAATAGTTTAATTTACATTATAATTCAAATCAAATTTGTATCTTACATAAAATGATATTTCTGTAAGATAATATTTATCATGTTTTCTTTATTTTGATCTTAGGTCCTGGTGCACCTGGGTCTCCTGACGAAGGAGTCTGGTTTTAAGATAGCGGAGAACGCGTTCAGCGGAGGTCCTCTGGGCGAGCTGGTTCAGTGGAGTGACCTGATCACCACGCTGTATCTGCTGGGACACGACATCCGCATCTCAGCGTCTCTCGCCGAGCTCAAGGAGTGAGTCTCTGACTCCGTCTCTGTCCTCACTACTCAATTCAATTCCATTCAGTTCAATTGAATTCAATTCTGTCTCTCCAGGATCATGAAGAAGGTCATGGGTAACAAGTCCAGCTGCCCCACAAAGGGTGATAAAGTTGTGGAGCTCATCTACATAGACATCGTGGGTCTGGCTCAGTTCAAGAAGACTCTGGGCCCGTCCTGGGTCCATTATCAGTAAGTTCACATCAGATTTTGTGGATTAGTATATGACGTAGGGGTGTAACGATTCATCGGTATGGATCGATACATCGATCCATACCGATGGCGATATGATGCATCGATGCCACGCGTAAAATATTGATATCTGTAGTATAAATAGGCACCTTTATTTTGGCACTGTCCACATTTTCACATAATGTCCGTCTAAGCATTACCGACAACGCGTGCATTCTCGTTCAAACTCACGTATCAGGACTCGATATAAGGACTGCCCGAAGGCACAAGTTGAGCATAAAAGACGCTCGGGATTGTTTGCGGAACAGTCGAGCGCTGTGTGAGAAGTTTTCTGCGCACACATCTGAAGCGCACGCACGCACACAGACAGCCGCGAATACTAAATAGAGTTCTCTTCCGCTTTTTGTGCATGGATGAATAAATACCGACAAAATTACTTCAAAATGCGCATTTTGGCAAATATCCTAGTGAACACAGTCGGTTAGGCATATGTCTTAACATAAACAGTTGAGAAAGAAAAGGCATCTGTATCAGTAGTTAAATCCGTGCTTTCGTTCTTAAAGTGAAAGCAAACTATTAATAAATCTAATGCTGTCAAAGAAAAATACAAGTGCTCACTGCTCCTGACTAAATAACCTTTGTAACATCAAAAATGATGACTCTATATTTAATTTATACATTGAAGACTATGCACTTATTTTACATTTGATTACTACATTTCTGTAGCGCACCTGAAAATTGATTTTAGGCTGAGCTGAAAAACCTGACATTATAATTCAAATCAAATTTGTATCTTACATAAAATGATATTTCTGTAAGATAATATTTATCATGTTTTCTTTATTTTGATCTTAGGTCCTGGTGCACCTGGGTCTCCTGACGAAGGAGTCTGGTTTTAAGATAGCGGAGAACGCGTTCAGCGGAGGTCCTCTGGGCGAGCTGGTTCAGTGGAGTGACCTGATCACCACGCTGTATCTGCTGGGACACGACATCCGCATCTCAGCGTCTCTCGCCGAGCTCAAGGAGTGAGTCTCTGACTCCGTCTCTGTCCTCACTACTCAATTCAATTCCATTCAGTTCAATTGAATTCAATTCTGTCTCTCCAGGATCATGAAGAAGGTCATGGGTAACAAGTCCAGCTGCCCCACAAAGGGTGATAAAGTTGTGGAGCTCATCTACATAGACATCGTGGGTCTGGCTCAGTTCAAGAAGACTCTGGGCCCGTCCTGGGTCCATTATCAGTAAGTTCACATCAGATTTTGTGGATTAGTATATGACGTAGGGGTGTAACGATTCATCGGTATGGATCGATACATCGATCCATACCAATGGCGATATGATGCATCGATGCCACGCGTAAAATATTGATATCTGTAGTATAAATAGGCACCTTTATTTTGGCACTGTCCACATTTTCACATAATGTCCGTCTAAGCATTACCGACAACGCGTGCATTCTCGTTCAAACTCACGTATCAGGACTCGATATAAGGACTGCCCGAAGGCACAAGTTGAGCATAAAAGACGCTCGGGATTGTTTGCGGAACAGTCGAGCGCTGTGTGAGAAGTTTTCTGCGCACACATCTGAAGCGCACGCACGCACACAGACAGCCGCGAATACTAAATAGAGTTCTCTTCCGCTTTTTGTGCATGGATGAATAAATACCGACAAAATTACTTCAAAATGCGCATTTTGGCAAATATCCTAGTGAACACAGTCGGTTAGGCATATGTCTTAACATAAACAGTTGAGAAAGAAAAGGCATCTGTATCAGTAGTTAAATCCGTGCTTTCGTTCTTAAAGTGAAAGCAAACTATTAATAAATCTAATGCTGTCAAAGAAAAATACAAGTGCTCACTGCTCCTGACTAAATAACCTTTGTAACATCAAAAATGATGACTCTATATTTAATTTATACATTGAAGACTATGCACTTATTTTACATTTGATTACTACATTTCTGTAGCGCACCTGAAAATTGATTTTAGGCTGAGCTGAAAAACCTGAAAAGCACTGTTTATTGAACTTGTGTCTTTGTATTTATTTTCTGCTATTGCTTGTAATTTGGTTATCTGTAGAAAATATTTTTAGCACGGAGCCCATAGAAGCAGCCAGAATTGTTTTTCCAATTGTTTATTTTAGTTGTGAATGTCCCAATTGAGGTACAGGATGTGAAAATTTCAGATAAACGTTCATGTTATATAATTTGGTTGCATTTGTGAGTTAATAAAAATGTAGATGGTTGTTTAAAATAGGTATATAATATCATAATATCGATATGTCGATCGATGTACTCCTGTATCGAATCGAATCGTAATCGTATCGTATAATTTTTTGAGGTATCGGCAAAGATCGTATCGCTGGGTATGAGAATCGATATCGTATCGTATCGTGACAAACCATCCGATTTACACCCCTAGTATGAAGTATTTCATCCGTATGTGGCTGTGCCCTTCACCTGACACAGTTTCTTCAGCTCTGTTGAGCCGTTTGAAATGAGTCTGAACACGATCTCCTGATTTTATCTCCATCTTCAGACACCGAGATAGATTCGCCTCGGGGTTGATCCCTTCCGCACCGCGCCGTGTGAATCCCAGCCAGGATTGGGCTTCTCGAGTAATCAGGGTCGTCTGACCTGCTATGATCCGTTAGCTGTAACCGAACGTGTTTGTTTGCTAAAGGATAACTTCCTGTAGTGTTAGAAACCACCTTAGTCAGATTCTTTGTCAGATTCTCTAGAAAATAAATAACAAAATGAATTGATTTATTTTCTAAAAAATTTGAATAGTTGTATTCAATAATTTGAATAAATAAATCTGAATGTTTCTTGTTTTTGATTGCAAATTTTATAACCTCTATGTGTACAGATTTGTCAAAGTCTGACAAAAATAATTGAAGTATTTATTATATAGTTTTGTTTTAATTTAAGTAATTTTTCAAACTACAACAGTTCTAAAGTAAAACTAAAGTCATATTAATAAAATAAGAAAAAATGTTGATTTACAGTATTATTATTATTTATATAAGCATACTAGTTGTAATTATAATGATGATTATTGTTGTTATTATTACTTATTTTTTCTTGTACAGGTGCATCTCAATAAATTAGAATGTCGTGGAAATGTTCATTTATTTCAGTAATTCAACTCAAATTGTGAAACTCGTGTATTAAATAAATTCAGTGCACACAGACTGAAGTAGTTTAAAGGGGTCATATGATGCTTTTTAAAAGATCATTATTTTGTGTATTTGGTGTAACAGAATATGTTGACATGCTTTAATGTTCAAAAAACACATTATTTTTCAAATACTGTACATTATTGTAGGTCCTCTATGCCCCGCCTCTCTCAAACGCTTCATTTTATACAAAGTCCCTCCTTCCGACAAGCACAGTCTGCTCTGATTGGCCAGCTGACCCAGTGCATTGTGATTGGCCGAACACCACAAGCACTCGTCGGAAATGTAATCCTGCTGGAAAATGAAATCAGCATCTTCAAAAAGCTGGTCAGCAGAAGGAAGCATGAAGTGCTCCAAAATTTCTTGGTAAACGGGTGCAGTGACTTTGGTTTTCAAAAAACACAATGGACCAACACCAGCAGATGACATTGCACCCCAAATCATCACAGACTGTGGAAACTTAACATTGGACTTCAAGCAACTTGGGCTATGAGCTTCTCCACCCTTCCTCCAGACTCTAGGACCTTGGTTTCCAAATGAAATACAAAACTTGCTCTCATCTGAAAAGAGGACTTTGGACCACTGGGCAACAGTCCAGTTCTTCTTCTCCTTAGCCCAGGTAAGATGCCTCTGATGTTGTCTGTGGTTCAGGAGTGGCTTAACAAGAGGAATACGACAACTGTAGCCAAATTCCTTGATATGTCTGTGTGTGGTGGCTCTTGATGCCTTGACCCCAGCCTCAGTCCATTCCTTGTGAAGTTCACTCAAATTCTTGAATCGATTTTGCTTGACAATCCTCATAAGGCTGCGGTTCTCTCGGTTGGTTGTGCATCTTTTTCTTCCACACTTTTTCCTTCCACTCAACTTTCTGTTAACATGCTTGGATACAGCACTCTGTGAACAGCCAGCTTCTTTGGCAATGAATGTTTGTGGCTCCTTGTGAAGGGTGTCAATGATTGTCTTCTGGACAACTGTCTGATCAGCAGTCTTCCCCATGATTGTGTAGCCTAGTGAACCAAACTGAGAGGCCATTTTGAAGGCTCAGGAAACCTTTGCAGGTGTTTTGAGTTGATTAGCTGATTGGCATGTCACCATATTCTCATTTGTTGAGATAGTGAATTGGTGGGTTTTTGTTAAATGTGAGCCAAAATCATCACAATTAAAAGAACCAAAGACTTAAACTACTTCAGTCTGTGTGCATTGAATTTATTTAATACACGAGTTTCACAATTTGAGTTGAATTACTGAAATAAATGAACTTTTCCACGACATTCTAATTTATTGAGATGCACCTGTATTAGTGGTTATTTCACCACAAAAAAAGTAAGAAAAATGTTGTATTACAGTACTTAAATTATTTTATTTATTTCAGTCATTGTATAATTTACAAAAAATTCAAAAGTAAATCTTAAGTCATAATTAAAATAAGAATATTTTTAAAACTACAAAAGTTTTTAAAACCAAAAGTCAAGTTTTTCATCAACAAATGTTTGCTTGTCATGAAAAAAGTGCCAAAATGCAGATTATAATTATTATTGTTATTATTATTTTTATTATTCTTAGCATAATGTATTTTTTTGTAATTCTTCTTTAAAATAAACATAAAAAAATTGAAAAATTTCAAATGTTTTTTTCCCCAAAACAGTAAAATGTATTTTTCCATCATGTGTGTGTGTGTATACACATATACACATATACATAAACACTATACAGCATCAAAATATTTAATGATGATAATGATAATAATAATAATTATAATAATAATCATAATTATTATTATTATTATAAGCTTTTTTTTAATGTACAGACGTCAGCACTTTGTAGCTAGCTTGTACGCTGCTGTTATTTGCCCTTCACTCAAGTGTTGAACTTGTGTTGTAGGTGCATGCTGAGGGTCCTAGACTCGTTTGGGACGGAGCCGGAGTTTAACCACGCCCACTACGCCCAGTCGAAAGGTCACAAAACTCCGTGGGGCAAGTGGAACCTGAACCCCCAGCAGTTCAACACTATGTTTCGTAAGTCTGCATGAGAGAGGCTTTTTGTGTGAAACCTTTCCATTTTACCCTTTGGACATGGAAACTTTATCTGGGCCGCGTCGGGGTTCCGGGGGTTTTGGGTGGCGTCTCCGATCGGCTCGGGCTCTGAATAGCTCTTTTGTTTACCAACAGACTTTGACATTCTCATAAAACTCGCGGCTTTCCAAGCAGAACTGCTCTTATTTCTGATTAAGCCTGTTTGAGATTGCTTTCACAGAGTTTTGGGTCGACCCAACACTTTCTGGAGTCTAGCGACGCTGAACTAAGGCCTGAATCTCACAAAACTCCTCAAGAATATCAAGTCATAGTATTAATATTCTTTTACCACAAAATAAAAATATTTTATATTTTAAAATGTATATATTGCAATTTTTATTGTACTTTACATTTTAGTGATTGTTTTAATTACAAAAAACGAAAAAGTAAAAGGAGTGGCTTAACAAGAGGAATACGACAACTGTAGCCAAATTCCTTGATATGTCTGTGTGTGGTGGCTCTTGATGCCTTGACCCCAGCCTCAGTCCATTCCTTGTGAAGTTCACTCAAATTCTTGAATCGATTTTGCTTGACAATCCTCATAAGGCTGCGGTTCTCTCGGTTGGTTGTGCATCTTTTTCTTCCACACTTTTTCCTTCCACTCAACTTTCTGTTAACATGCTTGGATACAGCACTCTGTGAACAGCCAGCTTCTTTGGCAATGAATGTTTGTGGCTCCTTGTGAAGGGTGTCAATGATTGTCTTCTGGACAACTGTCTGATCAGCAGTCTTCCCCATGATTGTGTAGCCTAGTGAACCAAACTGAGAGGCCATTTTGAAGGCTCAGGAAACCTTTGCAGGTGTTTTGAGTTGATTAGCTGATTGGCATGTCACCATATTCTCATTTGTTGAGATAGTGAATTGGTGGGTTTTTGTTAAATGTGAGCCAAAATCATCACAATTAAAAGAACCAAAGACTTAAACTACTTCAGTCTGTGTGCATTGAATTTATTTAATACACGAGTTTCACAATTTGAGTTGAATTACTGAAATAAATGAACTTTTCCACGACATTCTAATTTATTGAGATGCACCTGTATTAGTGGTTATTTCACCACAAAAAAAGTAAGAAAAATGTTGTATTACAGTACTTAAATTATTTTATTTATTTCAGTCATTGTATAATTTACAAAAAATTCAAAAGTAAATCTTAAGTCATAATTAAAATAAGAATATTTTTAAAACTACAAAAGTTTTTAAAACCAAAAGTCAAGTTTTTCATCAACAAATGTTTGCTTGTCATGAAAAAAGTGCCAAAATGCAGATTATAATTATTATTGTTATTATTATTTTTATTATTCTTAGCATAATGTATTTTTTTGTAATTCTTCTTTAAAATAAACATAAAAAAATTGAAAAATTTCAAATGTTTTTTTCCCCAAAACAGTAAAATGTATTTTTCCATCATGTGTGTGTGTGTATACACATATACACATATACATAAACACTATACAGCATCAAAATATTTAATGATGATAATGATAATAATAATAATTATAATAATAATCATAATTATTATTATTATTATAAGCTTTTTTTTAATGTACAGACGTCAGCACTTTGTAGCTTGTACGCTGCTGTTATTTGCCCTTCACTCAAGTGTTGAACTTGTGTTGTAGGTGCATGCTGAGGGTCCTAGACTCGTTTGGGACGGAGCCGGAGTTTAACCACGCCCACTACGCCCAGTCGAAAGGTCACAAAACTCCGTGGGGCAAGTGGAACCTGAACCCCCAGCAGTTCAACACTATGTTTCGTAAGTCTGCATGAGAGAGGCTTTTTGTGTGAAACCTTTCCATTTTACCCTTTGGACATGGAAACTTTATCTGGGCCGCGTCGGGGTTCCGGGGGTTTTGGGTGGCGTCTCCGATCGGCTCGGGCTCTGAATAGCTCTTTTGTTTACCAACAGACTTTGACATTCTCATAAAACTCGCGGCTTTCCAAGCAGAACTGCTCTTATTTCTGATTAAGCCTGTTTGAGAGCTGAGATTGCTTTCACAGAGTTTTGGGTCGACCCAACACTTTCTGGAGTCTAGCGACGCTGAACTAAGGCCTGAATCTCACAAAACTCCTCAAGAATATCAAGTCATAGTATTAATATTCTTTTACCACAAAATAAAAATATTTTATATTTTAAAATGTATATATTGCAATTTTTATTGTACTTTACATTTTAGTGATTGTTTTAATTACAAAAAACGAAAAAGTAAAAAGTCATATTATTAAAATAAGATATAATGAATAATAAATATAAGAAAGGTTTTATATTATAATATTTTTTAACTTCAGTCATTTTTAACTACAAATAATAAAAATAAGTCATATTATAAGAAATACATAAGAACAATTTTGTAAATAAAAATAATAAGAATATAATATTGTATTAAAAGTGTTTTTTACATTTCAGTACATTTTTTTTAAACTACAAAAAAGATTTTAAAACCAAAATTACCAAATTTTTCGGTGGAAATTGTTCATGAAAAAAATCAGCTTGTTATTATTATTATTATTATTATTATTAATGACACATTTGCACAATTTTCTTCAAGATTCGCATTAATGTGTCTTGAAAGTAATGTTTTACTTGTGAGGTTTTTTATTCTTAAAAAAAATTACTGAAAATAAGAAATTTGAAAAAAGGTCAAAATGCAAAAGAAGTGTTTGTAGAAGTGTTTTTTTTTTAAAATATATTTTTAATATTAAATATTTGTAATGTTTTTTTACATATTTTTCATGACAATTAAGCTAATTTCCCCTCCATATTTTCATTATCATAATGCATTCACACATTTTTCTTTTGTTTTTGTAAATCTTTAAAAAAATAAAATAAACATTGATATTTTATATATATATTTAAAAATCAACATAAATTGAAGACCGTACAACTTGTATAAATATTTTAAAATATAATATATCTTTAATATATTAATATATCACTGTTTTGCATTATGGCAGTGACAGTTTATGGAGAAACAATTTCTGGGTAATTTGTCATGAAAATAAATATAATTTTTCATTTTGACATATATTACAATTAAGATCATTTTCCCACCATATTCTCATTACCATAATTTGTCAGTTTTACTTCTCAAATCTTTGTAATTCTTGAAAAATTGCTACATTAAATAATAATAATAAGGATAACTATAAATGTAAATATATTTTATTAGTCAACATAAATTTAAAGAGAGTAAAACTTGATGTATATAATTTACAATTTAAATAATATTTCATTGTTTTGGATTATGTTAAAGCCAATTTTGGGGGATTTATAGTTGAAAATGAGCTGTACATGTTCTTGACAGGTTTCATGACATTCAATGCAGCTACATATTGATTGTGTGTGTATGTGTGTGTGTGTGTGTGTGTGTGTTCTGGTATATATGGTTTTTGAGGACACAAATGTGTTTAATAACATGGGTACTACAACACTTTCTGTGTCCCCATAAACCAAAAACTTAAAGGGGTCTTATGATGCTATATGCACTTTTGCAAGTAGTTTGAACTGAAATGTGTGTTGGCAGTGTGTGTACACAACCACCCTAAAATGATAAAAATCCACCCAGTGTTTTTTTTTTAATCTGCTCAAATCTTTCCCCCTTTCTCAAATCAAGCCGATCTCAGATGCTTGTCTGTGTGACGTCACACAGACAGGCCCCTCCCACGATAGTTTGATTGACAGTAGCGTTTCAGCACAGACTGGACTGGTGTCTTACCTTAGCTCCGCCCTGAGTGAGCTGTCATTAGTCCTCTATTGTTTCACCGCTGGAGCAGATGTAGACAAGAATGACTCCTAAGCGATTGAGGTGTTCTGTTGTTGGATGTAATAATGAACATAGCAGTCGTCATTTACTCCCGACATCTGAGCTGCTGAAGACGCAGTGGATTACATTTGTTTTTAAAGAGAATGCGCCCCTGATCTGCTTAAATGTAAAAAAGCATAAAAGCGCGTCTATGTTCGCGCGAATCATTTATGATCCAGCCTCATCTACAGAAGAAGTGAGTGTAAGGTTTTTTTAATGAATCTTTGCAAATTGCCTTTCCTAATAATGTGCTAATTAGCAAGTTTCACGATGAATGCGGCTAAAGTAAACGCGCTCTCTGAGAGCAGCTCGGAAGAGAGGGGCGGGGTCAGCAGAGCTCATTAACATTTAAAGGAAAATGCTACAAAACGGCTTGCTCTGAAAAGAGCTGTTTTTGACCAGGTAAAAAAAGGTGTTTTTTACACTACCATTGAGAAATTTTAACCAAACTATGTTACAGACTTTTCATTAAGACCCTAAAGGATCATATCAACTTGTGGAAAATGGGCATCCTATGACCCCTTTAAAAACATACTAAATGGTGTTTTATGAAATAAAAAAATTGCCAGTAGTTTTCTGTGAGGGGTAGGTTTAGGTGTAGGGTTGGTGTAGGGTGATAGAAAATACAGTTTGTACAGTATAAAAACCGTTATACCTATGGAGAGTCCCCGTAAACCACATATCCAAGAGTGTGTAGGGGGGGGTGTTGTGTATCTGATCTCCTGGAGCTTGATTTGGAAGACGGACCCTTGACAGGTGTGTGTAATTGACCTCTCCACGTGTCCGCAGGCATCTGTGAGAACATGAGGGTCGACAGCAGACTTACACAAACCTACCTGTCCATCTGTCAACCACGGATTCAGACGCACCCGTGAAATCCAGCCATTCGGAAAGCCTGTGCTTCAAATATTACGAGCGATTGCATCAGATGCGAGCGCACGTGTGTGTATGCCCTCCATTCTTAACCCTGCCAGTCAAAACCTTTATCCCACCGTCCCCTCGACGCATCCCACAATGCACTGCGGTATCTCATTGCACGGCTGATAAACATCACACTGCTCTCTATCAACCTCATATATTGTCTGTATGACAGGCCAGAATGACGTGCCCCCGTTTCCTTCACGATTGAGCGTCCTCCGTGCCGCCCGTCCTGGAGCTGCTATTGTTCATAACGCTTCCCACACATATCAGATGAGCGAATCGTTCTCGAGCCCGAGGGAAGAAGTCGCTTTCAGTACAGCATTACGGTCCTGGAATAATTCAGTTTCCATTTGATTTCTTTTGTTCCGCTTTTTGGGGTTTGCTAGGCAAAGACGACGTCATTGTGGCCGCTTTGGGTTTGGCGGAAAGTTTTCTCGAGTGAAACCGCGACTGAAAGAGTCACGCATTCGCTCGCTCGTAAACACATTTGGCTGTTCGACAGACACTCGTTGACAATTTTGCACTCACTTTTGCTACAGTCATTTGCCTGAGAAACCACACAAACACACACACAGGGCTTCACAGTCATGCAAACTAACCAACTTCCTGTCATTTGCATGGCACTTCCTCCCACACACCACACACGGACAGAGAAAAGTTGGTTTTTCTTTCATGTTGGCTTTTTCTTTTTTTCCTGATACCTTTCATAAACTAAAGTAAAACGCCCCTGGCTGCTGAGAGGAATTTCTGTAAAATGTGTAAAAAATATTAATGTATTTCTGCATAAAGGATGAATAATTAAAGTCTGAGTCAGTGGAAGGGTCAGTCTGTGTTGCGTTTCATAACGCTCACTTAAAAACACTTCTCCTTCAGCATTCCTGCAATTAAGTGCTTCTGTCGCGGTCTGTTTTTTCACAGGCATCTGGTTATGCTGTTGAATTATTAATTGTGAGGACAGAGTTTGCCATATGCTGAATGAAAAATTATAACTGATGTGTGTGTATATATATATGTATATATATATATATATATATTTGTAATGTATGTGAGTGGATGGAAAGTGGAAAAAATACATCAATTATAGTATAATAAATAAATGTAATAAACAGGAATAACTATAAATCAATCTAAAAGTAATGGACATAACTATTTTAATGTGTATATAGTGTTTAATTATATACAGTATATATATATAATTATATAAATTAGAGTGTAATTATAGTAGAATAAATAAATATAAGATAATATAAATTATATATTTACACACACATTTATTTTTCATTTGCATATGATTAAACTTTTATTATAATTATTTTTAATAACAATTATAATAAATATATGTGCATAATAAATATTTAATGAAGTGAAAAAGAAAAAGTGAAAAGTCATTTTCAAGACTTTATTTCTCAAGAAAATATATTTTGTGCATATGTAAACAATGCATTTAATTATGTGTGTGTGTGTGTGTGTGTGTGTGTGTGTGTGTGTGTGGATATATTATATATTATAATAAAATATAGTTTTTATGGGGGAGGGCCTCTTTTGAAGCAGTCCATGTTTAATCTGTTGCTAATTCCAAATCCAGCACACTTTGCACTTTAATTATGTGTGTGTGTGTGTGTGTGTGTGTGTGTGTGTGTGTGTGTGTGTGTGTGTGTGTGTGTGGATATATTATATATTATAATAAAATATAGTTTTTATGGGGGAGGGCCTCTTTTGAAGCAGTCCATGTTTAATCTGTTGCTAATTCCAAATCCAGCACACTTTGCACACACATGAGATCATTTTATCCGTCAGTTTTCTTGTAAGAATGAAGCTTTGTCCTTCAGAAACTAATCCGCGTTTAACGAAGCACATGAGTGTGTGAAACTCATCAGGATAAGATGTCTATCACAGATGAAAGCCGCTGCAGTGACGGGATACGTCTCTCTCTCTCTCTCTCTCTCTCTCTCTCTGTCTCTCTGTGTGTGTGTGTGTGTGTGTGTGTGTGTGTGTAATATGGTGAGGTTTCATTCTTTTCCACTCCTCTGCTTCCACTCCTAGATTTAATAAGAACTCTCTCACACACACAAACTCCCGCATTCCTGCTAATTACTGACAGCATCTTGGTGTCACCTGCAAACTGTGCAATTTGTCTCCTCAGCATTCCTGCATGCTGTTGCTGCGTTGTTGCGAAACGCTCTTCTGAAGGGCTCCGAGTGCATGTAATGTGAGGTCTAGACTCGTCTTTTGCAATTCAGTCACAAGCCTTCCTCTTTCTTGCTGCAAAAATTTCAGAAAGAGTGTCCGGTCTTCGTTCACACTGATAGTTGTTGGCATGAGTGTGTGTGTGTGTTCTTGTACAAGCATATATGCGCTATTTACGGTATCTATAGTGAGAAGGAGAACAAGAGGTCGTGTTCCATTTAAACGCCATATATGGTTTCTGCAAAATTGTGCAAATTGCATGATGGTCTGCCTGGGTTCTGAATTTCATCCTGCACTGGAATTGACGGGTAACCGTGACAACATGCTCCAGCTGCTCCCGCAGGCAGTAACCACAGACTACACATGTGTGCACACACACACACGCATTTGAGGTGTGTGTGTAAATAAGAAATCTTAATCTCAGGATTGAATTTTTCGGACAGATGGCGTTCAGGTGTATCTCTGCCAAGTCTCGTTACCCTGGCGACCTCTTGGACTACCGTTGTCATGGTAACAGCTCCTCGCTTGGCAATGTGGACACCCACACACGGATCTTTCTCATACACAATTAATCCGAACATCTTCCCTCAGGCACTCCAGTCCTGATGTGTCGTGCTTGATCATAGATTTTCCTGTGTTTAAAAAGCAATAATATTTAGAATTAAAAAAGAAAACTCTGGTTTTGTATTTATACTTTTTGCTTGATTAATAATGTATTTTATTTATTTATTTATTTTATGTCAGTTTCTTTATAGAAACATGCCTTAAACTTTTAAATCTTCAAAAAAATGTAAAAAAAATTTTTAAAAATGGTGGAGAATGTTGTCACATTATATGGGGCAAGTTGTCAAAGTGGAACCTGCCATTGAAAAGACTAGGTTTTTTATCAAAATTTAGAAACAAAAACACACAAACTTACTAATTAACAGTAAAAATTGTAAAGAGAAATGTACAAAAATATGATATATTTATATAATTTTTAACTAACTTTTATAGCCAACAAATTTTGTAATTTAACATTTTATAAGAGTAATTTAAATCATGTGACATCTTGCCCCAACTTAACATTTTGTTTTGTTATACACTAAAGCAGTTATGAAACGTAGTAATAACAGAAACGGCAAAAATTTGTTAAGCGTAATGTACAAAAAACATTTACATTTTTTATAAATATGTAATTTTTTTAATAACTTTTTTTGACATCTTTCTCCAACCCGACATGTTTTTATTATTAAAATGTAAAAACTAAAATGATTATGAAACTAAATAATTAATGAAACTGCCAAAACTGTTAAGGATAATGTACAAAAATATAATTTTTTGTACAAATTTTGTTTGGCCAACAAATCTTGTAGTTTAATACATTTTATAAATGTGTAAAATTTAAAACATCTTGCCCTGACCTTTTTATTTATCATAAATTGTTTTCGGCCAACACGTTTGTAATTGAACACATTTTATGTTTAACATTTGAAACGTGACATGTTGTCACAACCTAACAATGTTTATTGTAAGCTTTATTTCAAAAATGTTAAACTCAAATGATTTTGAAACTAAATAATTAATAAAACAGTCAAAATGCTAAAGAGTAAAAAGGCCTGTCTTTTTTTAGCAAAAAAGACAGGCCCCAGCATGACATTTATGTTTTTGTCTTAATGTATGTGTGGTTTTAAATGTTTTTTTTACAGTTATTGCTTTAATAATTAGACATAGTTATAATACGCAATAGATAATAGTCAGACGGTCTTATTTTATGATAATAACTAATGCATATGCATTAAATAACTAATGCATATAAAATATTGATTTGAGTTTAAATTTAAATTTGTATTATGTGGGAAGAGAGTGTGAAGTGTGTATTATAATTTTTTTTCTTCCACATTGTTATTTTTAAATTGCATTTCAAAAGTTGGCAGAAACTATATTTCATTTATATAAACCAAAGTAACTTGATGGTGGGTTTCCCTGCAGCTCACACTCCAGACAACAGTTTCCTGGGCTTCGTGGTGGAGCAGCACCTGAACGCCAGCGACGTCAAGCACATCGACGACATCAAGCGGCAAAACCAGTCGCTGGTGTACGGCAAGGTGGACAACTTCTGGAAGGTGAGTTCCGCTCAAACTACAGCCGCGTCCAACTTTTCCTTGGCTCTTTACATGTGAAGCTGTGTTGTGTTTAAATGCTAGATTGTTTCGCCACGTTTTCCGACTTTGAGCGCCAACAAAAGTGTTTTCAATTCGACTGCGATGACTTCAACTTTCCCCAGCACGAGGTCACGGTCGGTTCCGCCGCTAAGATGTTCCTACAGAGAGCGTTTCGCTGCCCATCTGGATCCGAAACGGCTCGAGTGATGAGAGACGCAGATGAAAACCCTATCCCACTAAACTCATCCACATTCCAGAACATCTAAACCCACACGGTTTTCCCCAGAAGGGACCTTATTCTCAATCGATTTCTCCGATGCCCTTCGGTGAATGTTTGCGTGTTTTTGGCGAACAATACGGGATGAACAGCCATATTATGAATAACAATATTTTTCATGCACTCTTTGTTATGAAACAAAAGTTTTAACATGAAGTACGCCAGTAGGTGAAGGTTAGCTGATCGCAAAAGAGCTCATTTACATGTATTAAAGGTACAGTAACAATAACGGACCGTTTTATTTTAAGGTTTGCATTTAACCTCGGGGAAAATTTGCGCATTCGTAGCGAATAACGTGGGATGAAAAGAGCCAAATCATGGATAACAGACTTTTTTCTTGCTTTCTCTAAAATGAAAATTTCCATGTGAAGTACGCGGAGGTTGGCTAATCACAACAGAGCTCATTTACATGTCTTAAAGGTACAGTAACAAAAACAGCTAGTTTCATTTTAACGGTACGTTTTTGCGCATTTGTGCCAAGCGACGTGGGTTGCAAAGAGTCATATTATGGATACGATTTTTATTGTTGTCTTCAACACAAAATGATAGTTTGCGTGAAGTTTGCCAGTGCGCTATTCACAACAAAGCTTATTTACATATCTTAAAGGTACAGTACCAACAAAAAAAGCAGCTTGTTTCATTCTAAGGTTCAGCAAAAGGGTTACAACAAATAGTAGCGTTTACATTGGCAGTTTTTTTTTGCGGAAATCAGACATTTTTCGCGATTTTCACACATGGGATGAAAAGAGTCATGTTAAGGATAATGGGATCTTTTTTTCTTGTTCTCTTGGATACGAAAGTTTGCATGTGAGCTTTTACTGCACACAGAGGTTGGCTAATCGCAAAGGAGCTCATTTACATATCTTAAAGGTACAGTGACAAAAACAGCCCATTTAGTTCTAACAATCAGAAAAAGGAAATATTAGATGCCTTTATAGTGACATTGCATTCTCGATTAACTTCAGGGAAACTTTGCACATTCTTGGTGCACAACATGGGAATAACAGAATCATATTATGGAAAATTCGTATTTAATCTCAGGGAAAGGTTTTTTTTACACATGCAGGATGAAAAAAGAGTCATATTATGGAAAACATTTTTTTTTCTTGCTCTGTTAGACGTGAAACTGAAGTTTGCTAGTATGCAGAGGTTAGCTAATCGATGGAGCTCATTTACATCTCTTAAAGATACAGTAACAAAAAAAGTCCACTTTTATTTTTGGGGTCAGAAAGAGGCTGCAAAAGACGGATGCAATTACAGTGACAGTGCATTCGCATTTAACCTCATGCAATTTTATTGATGCCATCCTTCACCCAGCGATAGAGAGAGAGAAAGAGAAAGGCTCCTGCTATTGCACAGCCTCTCAAGTACTGGTTTCCATGGAAACAAACTTGAGCATAGACCCTGAATCAGGGTGTGTGTGTGTGTCGTCTAGAGATCAGAGGATATGTGTATAGGCTTTTGAAATGCAAATAAAGTCTTGGCTGTTTCTTTACACACACAAATACATTCATCGTGTTATTGGTGCTACAAGTTCACATGTAATGCATCTCTGTGTTTATGTTCTGTCTCAAAAACAGATGCTTTTCTGCTGGTGGTTTTACACTCTCTCTCTCTCTCTCTCGCTCTCTCGCTCTCTCGCTCTCTCTCTCTCTCTCTCTCTGTCTCTCGCACGCTCACTCACTCACTCACTCACACACACACACACAAAGGCCTGAAACATGCTCAAGTGTGTGAACGCCTTACATTATATTAAACACCAAAACAATGCACATTTTTATGCTTTGTAGCTGCTGTCTCACAAAACACACAGTGTTTGCATGCTATGTTGGCATTTCCAGCTCATATCTCCCATAATCTTATCACTGCGTATGTGTTAGTTGATAAAACAAGGAACTAATTGATGATTAAACAAGTAGATCATTGATATTCTGTTTGATTGTGTGTGTGTGTCTGTGCCATAACTCACAGATGTATCATACGTAAGAATACAAGACCGAATGAATCCAGACTAAATATTATAATAAAAAATGTATTTGAAAATACAAATTGTTCATTTAAGACGATGATAATTTTTGTCACTGATTTTTTTTGTCCTTAATTAATTAATTAGTAGTACTTTGTTGACTACTTCTTTCCCCCCTAAATAGGTCTTTTATCTTTTTTTATATTAATTAAAAAATAAGTTTTATTCATTTCATTATAGCATTATATATCTTATATATATATATATATATATAAAATTATATAATTGCATATATAATTATCAATTATTAAAATATTTGATATTTTGATAAAATACTTACAAATAATTTTTTAATGTTTACATTTATTTTTTTACTATTAAAATCTATCAAATCAAATATATTTAAATATATTAGAAACATAATTTACCACACATACATATATAATCAATGATTTAAAAAGTCAAATATTTTTAAATTTGTCATTTTTAAAGTATTTAAGATCAATATAGAATATATCAATTTATTATTAAAATATATTAGAGAAATATACATAATTTATTATGTTATTAGTGTTTATTTATTTTGATGATTATGATTTATTTGTAATTATGCTTTATGTATATTTTTTGTTGGTATGATTGAGTTTAATTCTCACCTTGTTCTTGTGAGCTTGCTTACACACACACACACATCGACTGGTTGTATTTCGGTTTCCATCCTCTGACAGGAAGTATGCATCTTTGTATTCTTTGAGCATTTGTAAAGAAAAAGCTTCATTTTATCCTCTTCATCTTGTGGTTTCCCCCCACAGTCCTGTTTGACTCTTCCTGTCTGCTTTTGCACTTCTGCTCAACTGAAACAAGCTCAGACTGAGAGCTAAAAAAATCCGCTTTTTGTTTGTGTTTTACACTTCCTGGGGTCTTTTGGCTCGAGTCATGCTAATCTTGTGACAGAATGTCTCAATATGATTCAGATCATGTGAATTTGAGACAAAATATCCGAAAAATATCCAATATTGCCATTAAACGTTGTGTTCTTGCTTACATCAGCAGAAAAGGAAAAATAGTTTGTTGTTATTTTGTTACTATGAATAGCAATATTACTACTATATTTTATAGTATAATATCAATATAATAATTTCTATCAGTATTATAGCATATTTTATATATTAGTTAATGTTATTATTATGGTTAATCGCTTTGATTACATAATTTAATAGAAAAACATTTTATTTATATAAATACAAATATTTTCAATGTTTTTATTATTAAAATTAGTGTTTTATTAATAGTAATATCATAAATCATTATTTTATATATTTAATGTAAATTGTTTTCAAATAAAGATCGTTATGAATAATAAAGACTAAATGCATGGACTAACATGGTCTTGCTTACATCAGCGGAAATCTTTTTTTTTGTTATTTTGTTAATATGAATAGTAATGTACTATTAACTATATTTTCTATTAATAATAATAGTAGTATTATTAGGGTTAATCATTTTTATTATATAACAATTTACTAATAAAATAAATAATTTGTAATTTTATAACGCAAATCATTGAAATATTATTTATTATTTTTTAAATAAAGATAATTATGAATGTGAATTCAGAGTTAAAGACATATTGAACCCCGCTAACATGATCTTGCTTTTATCAGTGAAAAAGAAAAACATATGAATAGTAGTATTATACTTCATGTTTTATGTATTTACTATAATTTATTATTATTATTATATTCAGCATTTTGATGAAATAAAAAATTTATGAAATGTATAATTATAATTTTATAATGCAAGTAAATAATGTTATAATTAGTTTTATTTATTGCAGTATTATATTATTATTTTATGAATATTCATTTTATGAATGCTAAATACTACCTGTAATATAATTGAATCCAGAGTTTACAAATATTTAGCCCCGCCCACATGGTCTTGCTTACATCAGCGGAAATGAAAACTAGTTTCCGTGTGCTACAATAAAACTACTTTAATTCCATTTCATTAACCAGCGCCACTCGTTTGTCACATGTACGTGTCTTTATTTGTGTTTTAGGATAAAAAGAAATACCTGGACATCATTCATTCGTACATGGAAGTGCACGGCACGGTCCACGGCACGAGTACAGTCCACCTGCCGGCCTACGTGAAGAACCACGGCATCCTCAGCGGACGCGACCTCCAGTTCCTCCTGCGCGAGACCAAGGTCTGAATCAACTAACTCCTTTTGTTGAATATGGCCTGTAGTCATTGATTAGGACTTTCTGACATGTGTTTTGAGTTTATAGCACAGTGTAATAAGTCTGTCCCGTTGTCTATGCTTGAAAGCTAAATGTGAAATCTGCCCTGCACTTGCACGGTGACATTCATTGATTGTGTGGCCAGTGTGTAGCGTGAAAATCAGCCAAAGGAGAGGATATGCTGTTCTGCTGTTTCTCCAAAGTATCAAAGCTAATCTTTCCTCCCGCCTCGGCCTTTTTCCTCACTCTGAGCTCTACTATTAACTTCATGCACAGTCCAGAGACAGCGAGGCCGCTTCATTTACATACAGCGAGAGTGATCGTGTCTTCAGACAAACTCGTCACTTGGCAGCCGCCTAGCACAGTGAATCTCAACCTTTTGGCATACCGGACCCCAGTCCAATTCAGAACCATCCTCAAGGACCCCCAGAACAAAATTGACTCGTATCATGTGTGTCTTTGTGAGCACCAAATGCAGTCAAGTATAATTCAAGTTAGCTGACTTGTCCAGTATTTGGCCATATCATCAGCTATATTGGAATCTTCTTTCATGGGAACATGTCATGTCAAAATATACAAAATTTATACAAAAATTCATACTTTATACGGACCCCCTGGCCTTATGTGAAGGACCCCTGGTTGAGAAACACTGGCCTAGCAGACACTCTACCACACATCACTATTGCCAACTCTCGCGAGACAAATAAGCAACCGCAGCTTCAAAAACTGTAGCGTGAAAATCAGCCAAAGGAGAGGATATGCTGTTCTGCTGTTTCTCCAAAGTATCAAAGCTAATCTTTCCTCCCGCCTCGGCCTTTTTCCTCACTCTGAGCTCTACTATTAACTTCATGCACAGTCCAGAGACAGCGAGGCCGCTTCATTTACATACAGCGAGAGTGATCGTGTCTTCAGACAAACTCGTCACTTGGCAGCCGCCTAGCACAGTGAATCTCAACCTTTTGGCATACCGGACCCCAGTCCAATTCAGAACCATCCTCAAGGACCCCCAGAACAAAATTGACTCGTATCATGTGTGTCTTTGTGAGCACCAAATGCAGTCAAGTATAATTCAAGTTAGCTGACTTGTCCAGTATTTGGCCATATCATCAGCTATATTGGAATCTTCTTTCATGGGAACATGTCATGTCAAAATATACAAAATTTATACAAAAATTCATACTTTATACGGACCCCCTGGCCTTATGTGAAGGACCCCTGGTTGAGAAACACTGGCCTAGCAGACACTCTACCACACATCACTATTGCCAACTCTCGCGAGACAAATAAGCAACCGCAGCTTCAAAAACAAGCCCGATATTTTTTGATCATGTATTATCATCAATATTATTTATTATAAATGATTTATTACCAATAAATGAGCCCGCAGCATATTAAACTGAAAGTTTAAAAGTTTTTATTTAAAAATAAAACAAGCAAACTGCAACAAAGCAGGAACAAAACTCCTCTCCAATCACCTGTGAGCAGAATAGGATTGGAGAGATGGAAAAGGAGAAAAACACAAGAGCTTCAAAGGAGAGCTGGAACATATCCACATATTTATAGCCTACTAAAATACTGGCTATTCGAACCAAATCTACTCGTAGTATTAGTATAGGCCTACTTGTTTTTTTGTTTTGTTTTTTTTACAGCCCGTGATAATTAATGCATTACAAAAACATTGTAAAAATTAGGCTACCTTATAAAGGAAAAAGTCATCCCACTCCTCTACATCTACTACTAGCATTGCTTGGATTACAGCGTCATGCACCTTCCTTTTGAACAATCCCTCATTGAAGAAAAATCACGTTCAAAAAGAAGGAGGGGGCGGAATATTTGGCAAATTACGCTACAGCACTTATATTTTTGCACTGATTGGCTATTAACTGTGAGCAGAGAGAGTGTCAATCAATGCATTGGAGAATACAGTGAACATAAATGAAAAGAAACGAAGTTGCTCGTCAGGTTTTCCTAGCAAGCAACCATATTTTTTTAAATAAGCCCAAAAAACCGCGACCCGGAATTTTTTCACGCAACTTTACAAAAAAAGAAGCCCAAAGTATAATACGAGGACTTGGCAACTCTGCCACACATGCTGAGGAACTCTCAAACTTTCTTTCTAGAAGCCTGCTTTTTTCAGCAGCCTGCTTTTTTTAAAATCTTTTCTGCCCCCTGTTGATAAACCATAGAAGTTCAACCAGAAAAAGTTTCTATAATTTTTATGCATAAAAAGTGGCGGTGGACGAGGAGATACCCCCTCACAATGTAGAGCTCTTTGAGTGCTTAGAAAAGCAGAAAAGCGCTTTATAAATGTAATGAATTATTATTATTATAATTAATTATATTGTTTATTATTGTTGTTGTTGTTAAATTATATTATAAATCATCTTATATATATATATATATATATAACAGTAATAAAATATTTTAAAAGTAAATTATAATTTGTATTTTTATAATACATATAAACTAAATATAAACTAACATCATACATTAATATTAACTATATACACTACCGTTCAAAAGTTTGGGATCAGTAAGACTTGTAATGTTTTATAAAGACGTCTCTTGTGCTCATCAAGGCTGCATTTATTTGATCAAAAATACAGAAAAAAACAGTA